TGCTGCAGATGACTAGCATGTCTCTTAAGGCCTGCTTCTCCCGCCATTGACATGAGCAAGCAGGATCAGGCCCTTTTTTGGTTCACTGGTTGGTTGGTTGGTTTGGTTCTTAACCGAAAATAACCCTCCAAAAAAGAAAAACACCAGCAAACCCCACCAAGTTTGTGCAACACAAGAAATGCTTATTAGACATTCTTATTCCATCAAGTTTAGGGCTACTGATTTGATATTTACTTTTTATCTCTGTGTTGCAATGTAAGAGGTTTCTTTTAAAAAAATACTTAAGTCAAGCAAAAGCCATAGGTTTTTTCTGTCTGCATACTTTTCAGAAGACAGAGGGAAAAACCCGTGGGCCTGGTATACATTGCATAAATTTTAAACAAGGTGTGGAAATTAAGTGATATTTTCTACCAAACTACACCTGCTCAAAAGACACATTCTATCATTTCCAGCTTGCCTTGAATTAGATCACCCTCCCCATACTCATAGGCAACAACACAGAGCTATGACATTCAGAAAATGTTTGCAAGAATTCTCTTCTAGAGATCAGACAGTCACTGAGTTCAGCAGGAAACAGTGAGGTGGCATAAATCAGACAAGTGCATTTTATCTACCTTCTTATGCTGATAGACAGAAATCTATCCTGGTATATACAAGGTAGGAGGAGAACACAGAAGGTACAAACCGCATTTATGCCTTTCAAATATGCATCAGACTGTAGCATCATCCCTTGCTTAACAAAACTAAACTGAATATTCAGACTTTTTAGTAATTCTGTAGACTGAGCCTATTCAACCACCAAATGCCCTGTATTGGTTTTTGTTTGGTTTGGGTTTTTTTCTTCACTGGACTACTTCGATTGGCTGATACTTTTCTAGCAGTGAGGTGCCTGCAGTGGAATAGTCTACTTAAAACAAGAATATTAAGCCATGTAGAGGACTTGCTGACTATGAGCTTCCTGAACTGACATTGAACAACCCACATTAAAACCAAGGTGTAGTTGAAAATAGCTGTTTCCCTGCCTCATTTGTGTAGTTTACATATTACCTTGTAGCATTGAGCACTGGTTAGAAGATTTTAAAATTGCAGGATAAGCCTTAGGAAGTGATGCATCCAAATTCTAGCATAAGCAGAATGTGACTTTAAAAATGCCCTCATGTAGAAAATATTCAACTCGCTATTTCTAAATACTACTTGATGTAGTACTCTACATGCTACACTGAGCATATTTCCACTCTTTATCATTTCATGCAGGGAGGTCAGACAGGATGCATTTTAATCAAGCAGGTCCAATTAGTTGTTCGGAAACAGATTGTGACTCTTCCCATCTTTGACATTACTCCCTCAGACCCAACCTTAATGCTCAAAACAAGACGCGACAGCAGGACCTATCCAGTAGCAGCAAAGGTCACGTGTTTGCAAGTACAACTCATTACAAAAGCTTTGGATACTTAATGCTCTGAGCAGTATAAACCTAAAACCTGCAGCTAGTAGGCTAAGATGGTCATCTGATCTGCCAGCATTACCTCCCTTGTTAATTTGGGTTGCAAATTTTGTCTGGGGCAGAGCTGTCAATTGCTGCATGCCTCAAGCTCCTAAGAGCTTTAATATTTACACTTTTGCAAGTGGATATATAGTATTGGCATGCTTTTACCTGTGCAAATTTTGTTGGTGGATTGGATGGGTAGGACGCTTTTGTCAGGAAGAGTGCCATCAAGAGGATGCAAAGAGCATCTTTCTCATATGCTTATTGCTGATCTAGAGCATCCTTTGCATTTAAGGAGCAGGCCTTTCTCAGGCAGAGACTTCCAGCTAATATTTGATGGTATAGGCAACAGAGGAGCCAAAACAAATTGACAATCTCACTTCCATTTATAATGTAACTTTTCTCATTTCAGTTCAGGTCCTGGAGGTCATCTTCATTATTACTTGAGTCCACTGAGTCCCCAAGCAAAGGCTAGCCCAAGTATACTTTAAGAGACAGTCCTTGACAGATGAGCTTACAATCATAAGACCTATCAAGCATGGGAAGCAGAGACACTAGTCCCACTTTACACATGAGCAACTATAGCAGAAAGATAGTACGAGATTTGTTCCTGCATAAGCAGCTGGGCTATTAATGCAAGCACTTTCCCCTCAATACTACCTTTCCAAAAAGTGGTACACACAGCATTCCTAAAAACATGTATTCAGCACATCACAACTAATTTGGAATGTCACCAGTCCGCATAACCAGATTAATCACAACAAATTCTCATGGATTATCCATGGGCTCCCACTAGAAGACTGGGGGAAGAAAAGAAAAAAAAAAAAAGGAAAAGAAAAAAAAAGAAAGAATGCAGCTAATTGGAGTTTATTCTTTGAGTTTTCAAATGACGACCCTCAAGGAGGAAAAAAAAAACCAAAGTGTTTTTCTCTTACAAGATTTCAGTGTCAAGCTGTGTGCTAAGCCACAGTGATATACTAAAATAAACAAAACTATTTCTTTCAGAGTCCAGAGAAATTAACACGACCAAAAATATTTTTGGAAGGCTTTTCTGAGCCATGAGTAAGATTTCCATGCAGCTAGTCCTAGTCTCCACGTGTTGGTAGGTCCATTAGGACAACACTACATTGCAGTCATATTCCATGGACAGGCTGTTAGAAGCATTTCATTAGCGATAGCTGCAGCCAGAGGAGTTCCGTTCTGTCGTGGCCTTTGTCTCCTGCATTTGCGTAAAGCCCTACTGGGGCCTGCTTCAGATTCCTATCTGACAGTCATTGGGTAATGTAAGAATGAACATACAGCAGACTAATTGGAATCACAGAGCAAATGTTACAGGTTAGCTAGTTAGTGGGACTTCTGCTTTCTTTTCTTTTTATTTTTTTGCCTTTTTTTTTTTTTTAATTATTTCCTCCCCCCCCCCCCCCAAACCATCACTGCTCCCTGGATATCACCAATGGCAGCTGCAGGGTTTGGTAGGAGGAGGGTAGAATAAGACATCCAGAGGCTGTTAAACAACTGGTATTATCATGTAACCAGATGCCCTTGTCTAGGTTTTAATCAGATTGTGCAACTACCCCTTGTGAGCTGAAATTGACTCTGCAACATCAAGCATTGCAATCTGTGGCTAACTGCACAGAAGTCCGCATCAGTGGATTTCTCCTCATCTCCTAGTCCTGCAAAATAAACACCACACAGAAAGAACCTCTTAGGAATCCTCTGATTCACAAAGAAGTAGGAATGTACAGAAATGTTCTTCTTGATTTCAGCCAAGTCTCCCCTCTGCAGCACATAAGAAACAAAGTATTAAGAAGTTCAATCTAAAATTAGACACATTCATCTCATTACATGGCTGTTTCCTCACATTCGTCCTGCACACAAAGCTGTGAGGGTCAGTCCAGGCTATTTTCCCAATCCTTGACCAAACTTGGACTCTCTCACATTTGGACACTCTTTTTCCTCGCTCAGCATATCATGTCGCAGCCCCTCTCCTCTATAACTGTCCCAGTCTCTTTCCTTATGAGCCACAAATAAACCATCGCCAGACTACCTTCCCTATAAGCCAAACCCAAACCCCTCCTAGACTCCCTCTCCACATTCTTTCTACAAGCCTCGTCTCCTGTTCTGCATCTCAGCAATCAGCTTTACCTCTTTTTTCCAAAAAGCCCTCTTGGGCTTTTACGTTGCAGACCTCAAGATCCCTAAATGCTGCTACCTCCAGATTTCACAAGCCCCAGCAGCACACATATGTCTCGCATGTATGAATTTTGAGTTGCACGGCAATCACCCACAGGCAAAGCAAATGACGCAATACAGCAGCCATAAGAAAGAGTACCTATAGAGGAAGCCCTTGCAATTGGAGGCACAGACACTTTGAAAGGCAAAATAATGCTGAGGCAAGCTAAGGAGAAGTGCCCTCTGGCTTTAGCACTGTAGCTGCTTCGTGGCCACCTTTTCCTACTTTTAGTCTATGGTGCTGGTTAACTTCAAATTAGACAAATAGAGATCACTGTGAGTACTAAGCCAAATAACACAGTGTTCAATAACTGGGGAACTCCTATGGCAGGGGCCACATTACCTAAGAATTTCCAAGAGCTGCAGAAATGGGAGAGGGGAAAACAGAGGCACAAAAGGGAACATTGTGAAGGGGAGGCACTGGGCAGGTTGTTGGAGGGCTGCAGGGAGCAATATGCTCCTGTAGGAAGCCCCACATTACTTGGGTGTTTTAATTCTCAAAAGCAACCAGAACTTTGGATGCTTATTTGAAAAGTTAAAATTTCATGCATTACCTCTTGCTGGCCTCTGTAGTGCATTAAGATCTTTTACAGTTCCTTGAAAATTTTAAAATCTCTTTAGGATCCCTCGAAACACTGTAACAATCTTTGGGCATAGGAGTACGCTTAACCCCATACAAGGTGGCCTATATAATTCAACCAAAACTTACAAATACTGAGACTAAAAGAATACTAATTGGAAATGGGCTATGTTATCTACTAGGTATTACAAGTCAAAGTTTCCCCCTTCAACATGAATACTTCATGAGAAATACAGAAACACGATAAAGCTGGTAACGATGACAAATAAATCCAGGGGCCCATCGTATTGCAGAAGAAGGAGGAAAACTTTGTGTGTGTGTGTGTGTGTAAAGTAAATACCTCCTCATAACCTGCATTTCCCTGTAATGTATTTGAGCAAGTTTGCAATCCTTACTTCAAAGATTATATACTTTTCCCAAGCCTCTCCCTCAAGAGGTGTGTGGTTTGTATTATAGTTTACTTAAAAGCAGAGACTTGGAATCAAACCCTGGCAAACACAGTTACACACTTTTGGAAATTTAATGCTGGGGTTTTGTTGGTTTGGGGTTTTTTTTGTCAGCTGTTTCAATACTTTAAAAAACATGTCACAACTTACAGTGCCACCTAGTTTCTAACCAAAAGGTTACTACCAGGTACTATCTGCTTTCACACAGCATCCTTTAACGTTTTGGGGAGGAAGGGTTCAGGGTGCTCACACTCACCCTTTTGTTGTTCTCTTCTTCTTGTGCCTTCCTAAACTCGTGCTCTAGGGAGCAATCGATGTCGTTGAAGAGGCCCACTTCCTCACAGTTCTTCAGAAAGCGAGTTGGTGTAGGAGTCTGATCTGAGAATATAACAAGAAATAATCATTCGTATTTAATATTAAAAGGAGAGAGAGACTGTAAATAGTCTTCCAGGAAAAGAGAGGTTCTAGCTAACCTCTCCATGCCTTTCCACCCCTACCACACCATCTTTAAAAACAAACCACACAGCACTGAATTTCGACACTGCACCGCAAACAGCCAATGCTTGCCAACAGTGCCCAAAAACAGGCGGCAGTCATCATCCAACCAGAAAGGCAACAGGCCACGTTTTCACAGGGTGCATAACACAAGTCCACATCCTTAACATGTGCAAAGGGTCATTATAACTGTCTATAACCCTCCGATAATAGGTGCATGCAAAACAATGCACAGTGCATATCATAATGCACATTTACACCACAGCACACTGGTAACTGCTGCAGACATGCCCGAGTGAACGCCTTCAGGTGCTTGAAAACCACCTCAAACATACACATACTTTGCAAAACAAAACACATGAAGTTAGCCACAGTGAGAAAAAGTTCTGCTTCTAACACACTTTTTGAAGAAGGAGTGAAAGGACATTTAGAAAAGCTATGGAATGTTAAACTTTGACCACAAAGAAGCGTCCTTCTGTGTTTTATACTGAAAAGTGTTGATAATACATATAAACCATGAGATTTGGAGTCAAAAGATTTTTAATGCATGCCTTCATCTCTAGGAATTTTTTGCCCTCTCAGAAATTATTCAGGGAAGGACAGGATTCTCTTTAATGCCATAGGCAGGAGGGACTCAAGAAGGTACAAGGTTTTCAGCTGCCTTTTCAAAAACCTGCAAGACAGACAAGCTAAATTGCCCTGTGGACTGTAGTTTTAGTGATGACCTTGGCTAGTCCTTCTTCAGGAAGTGAAAAATCAAGCCCAAAGTTGGGAACCAAGGACTCCTCAAAGGTCAGCTCTGAGGCACCTCCATTTCATTCTGAAGGCAAGTTCTTCACTATTCCCCCTCAGCTTCCCCACCTCCCCCTCAAAATTACAATACAGAACTATATTAGCAAAAGCAGGGGAGAGTCTGTATGATCCTATCAGATTTACACACATTAAAAAAAAAAAAAAAAAAGAATCCTGTCTTGCATGTTAGTTCCTCCTTCCCAAGCCCCCATTCCAGCTCAGGCTGCTTTGTACCTAATTTTATGGAAAGACAGGACTCGCTCTCTTCAAAAATAATCTTCTGCATAGTCATTGACAACTACCCTATTGTTGGAAATTCATTCTTTAAAGAATGAAAGCTCTGTCATGCTAATCCCAGTTGCCCATATTGGACCAATTCTGACCTCAGAATAAAGCTTCCTACTTCAGCGAGTTCTGGAGGAAAAATTTGGTTTCTTGCACCTAGCTGAGCTGGGTGAAGTTCTAATATGTCCTCCTTAGAGGGAACAGTTACCAGACACAATGTACTTTACATGATCAGCATAGAAACACACAGCAACCCCTAAACAAAAGGCAGCATAAAAGCAATACATACAAAAAGAAATGCAGTTTTCACTTGGAAACTAAGGGGGAGGATCAGCCTCCTCCATTATAAAGCCAGCTGACCCAATTTCCGCCTGTATCAGGTGTGGCCCTACAGGTTTGACCTTTTCAAGTAGTCCAAGGGCAAACACACTTGTTTGCATTTATATTTCTGATGGAACATACTGATGTAACATAAAAAGCAAGTCCTTAATGTTAAAATTCTGTTTTATTTCTTTTGGCTTGAGCATCCTACTTGTGAGCTTAAAGGAAACAAAACTTAAGTGTTTGGGAATGCACACATATTTATCTATTAGTTTTCACAGCTAACTACCATATTACCAGAGCCAGAAACATAAGACTTCCCAAGAATCTTGCAAGAACTCAGCATAAGGAGCTGAGTCAACGAGGTGCTGACATTGATGGGAGCTGAGGACATTCAGCACTTTACAGGTCCATATCCTAAATAAGTAGTGCGAAACTAATCTCTAGGGTAAGCTCACTGAACTCAGTAGATTTACACCAGGGTTGTCTTTGGCCCTTGGACTGGAGTTTGTACTGGAGATGAAGTGCACTAAAAAGCAGGAAAAACAGATTTTTATTTCCAAAAAGGATTAAATATTGCTTTAGTGAACAACACAATTGCTTTGTAGAGAAACAAAGATAATCATTGCCAAGCCTTCCTGGACATAAAGGGCATATTAGTATTTGAATGTGAGGCAAATACAGGAAATGTTTTATTTTCAGAAGTAGTATATCCATACCAAATAAGCAAGGTATCAATTTCACAACCAAGATGAGAAACTAGGGTTTCATAAAGAAGTTGATGGCACCACTTTCACTAAAATAAAAAATCCTAAGCTTTTTTTCAGAGTTGCTTGAGCCCAGGGGCAAGGGGGCAGGGCAGAAGAGAATACACTAACATAGATGAGATCTTGTTACTTTCCATCAAGGTACACATCTGATCCAGAAGTCAGGCATTACTACAACAGGCTACATTGGGTTAGGGGAGACTTAATGGGTAACAAGGTGGTGATCAGGCACGTGCAGCTGAAGTTCCCAATCTGTTCAGCATCTATTCCAAGAACGTTAGACAGACAAAAAAAAATTATCTCAGTGAAGTAAATCCATTTTAACAGTGAAAACAAGCAACCCAGAGCAAGAATGTGACTTCAAGTGCACAAAGGCCTCATTGGCTTTTCTCTGCACATGCTGAAAGTGTATCTTCTGCACCACAAGCAGTCTGAGACAATCAAATGTGTTGCCTACAGCTGATCTTTCCAATTAACTACTTTATTATCTAAAAGCATCAAAACTGATAGATCAATGACACTATTTACAGCACCTACATATTGACATGGTGATCTTAATGACTACCTCAGTCTCCCCATATGGTTCCTGTAGTTTCTACGATCCAGAAATCAGACTGGCAGGAATTCGCAACAAGATTTTGTTAAAACAGACAGCCCACCTCTCCTCCCAATCAGGGAGGGAACACCACCAACCACCCAGTCTAAACTCCATCCACAGACCTTCTGGAAGCCAGCACAGCCAGATGTAAAACAAGAGCTGCCCTTCTACCTTGTAATACTTCATCCTTCAACATTCACAGAAACCAGAAGTCCATGAAACCTCTGTGTTTGTATGAGAGTAGAAGTGAAAAAGACCCAGAATTTAAAACGTTGAGACTTTACATAGTATAGTAGTTACATTGCACACACACTGCATTTGCTGGTTTCAGGACTTTAGGGCTACCAAGTCCAGTGGGCTTTCTTTGCTCCCGAGGCAACCAACTATTTTGCCTCTGCAGAACACCAGTTCTCCCTTAGGAGGTGGGCAAACTAGTAGAAGATATTCCTCTCAACACCACAGTAATTCTTTTACCTAGATTAGGCAAGGCTTTGTGTTTTAACTGGGAACAGTATCACAAAGGAGACCCTAGCATAAGTTAGACATTCAGGTCCACCAGAATTAATAAAATATTCCTAATTCTCAGCACTTAAAAATGCATTAATAGTTCCAACAGCTTGTGCCTGACCTCACTGCTCCCTGTTGGTACAAACAAACCTTTTGTTGCTATCACCAGCGCCCACAACTATTGCAGGCTCACTGAGAACAGGGCTCTGATTTGTGGTACTTCAGCAACTGGATGTGCCAGACCCATCTGGGCCAGAACTCAGAAAGAGCTATTACCACTCTCAGCGTTCCTGCTGAGGACACCCATTACTGTAGGAAGCTGTCAGCATGCACGCTGTTAGCCACACAACCCAGGGCTTTAATGGCCCAAGCTGCATTTTGAACCGGGCAGCTTGGGATGCAGGTCTGTCTGGGTTAACCCTAGCTATCTGGTTATTACACTGACCAGCCATCCCAACCCAGTCCCATTGTTCAGCATGTAAAATCTTTCCATCCCTGACTGCTACCAGAACTACTTTACTATGCTTTGAGGCACCTACTTCTAGCCAACTGTCACTTCACAGGTGAACCGTGTCATCTGACAATTACTTAGGAAGTTATTTCTCTCTCACCTTCACCACCAGGTTGAACACAGAACCTGTCAGGCTTCAAACTAGGCAATAAATATTTTGTCCAGCCTATTACTTAGGCGAATAATCAGCCTCTCTGATGACACAGTCATGGCCAGAAAGGCTGCAAGAACACTAAGTTTAAATAAACCTCAAAAATGTAAGTGGACAACATAAAAGCCCCAGAGCAAGATCAGATGGTCTCACCTGTGCAGATCCCAAGTCCACCTATTGTATCTTACAGGAGATGATTTCAGAAGCATTCAGCAATCAGATTATGACCAGAACCTGATATACTGAATAAATTCTTGCTGCTGATCATTTTGAAAACCTGTCCTCAGTGTCTGAAGTGATGCCTGATTCTCCAGACTAATTGAAAAATATATGCTATAAGGCAATGGGAAATTTGAAGTCTTCAGTAAAGAGATCTCATTATATATTCATTATGTTTGGCTATGCAAATTTTGTTGTTGTTGTTGGTTGGTTGGGGGGGTGTAATTACTGAAATAATAGTCTCAGAAAGGACACTCAGTCTCAATATATTGCTTTCAAAACAACAACCCAGGAAATGCCACAGTAGCTTGCTATATAGAGAGTTCATTTGAATGCATTTTGTAAAACTACCTTGGATCCTAGAGTTTCATGCCTTAAAGCACAAATGAAAACTTTAAAGCATCATACCAGTTAAGAAAAAAAACTGAAGAACCAAAGGACAGTTATGTGAAACAAGCTTCCATTTGGGGGACAAAAAAAAAAAAAAATCTGATTCAGTAAGAGATACTAACAGCACAGCTCCAAAGTGCGTAACTTGATTCCTCATCTTTCTTTAAAAATTAAAAAAAAAATGTTTAGTCTGATGTGCAATAATAACAGGTATTTGGCTTGTTCAGCTGTGGGCTCTGTTGAAGTTATACACTTACCCATGTTATACTTTCACACAATGATAACAAAGTCAGAGTAATAGGGCTAGCATTGAAATTTGAAAGACTGCCCATCAAGCAGCCACAAGGAAAGAGGAATGTCCTGAGAAATTCAAGAAGCCTTCTTCATTAATCTGGCAGGGTACTTCCCAAATGCACCAAGAAGCTCAAGGTGATGAAACCTCAAGCAGGTGACAGAAGAGAAGAGGGGGAAGAGGTGTACCCAGTCATACCTGGTGGAACTGCCCTCACCCAGGGGCTCACAGACAAGGGCTCCCAAGAACTTTACTGCTTAAAGATGCACTGTTTAAAGTGCTGGTTGGGCTTTCTGATGGGGTACGTATACTGGGTACAACACATCTGTAATCTCTTCTGGTCACTCAGAACCTGAGCAGTTGAATTTTAGAAGAGTTCTCATTTCATTATTTGGTAAAGCAAAGGGCACAGAAGCAAACAAGAAATCACACAAAAGTATTTTTCCTTACATCCAATCATTTTCCACTCCACAAAATTCATGCCTAGATAAACCTCCTTGTGTAAACCACAAGGAGAAAAAAATTAAGCCAACCACAGATGCCGTAAGTTACCTCAGTGACACAGGCATTACCTGGGAAAAGGAATACATTTGCACTACCTTTAGCACATACACTTTTTCATCTGGAGAAGACTGTTTCTATCTCCACAGTGGGCTTTACTACCAAAAATCCAGAGGATTGGATTTCAGTAAATAGAACTGGGAAGAAACAAGGTTTCTATATAGAAAACCCTGACCTCTCCTGCATCTGCTAGCAGCACTTTTGGAAGGACTTCCCCCCTCCAACAATGGTAAAGTATCATTCCTTCCCTTCCTGAATTTGATACCACAGGAATTTCAGTGTCCCCAGCTCCCAAAGTTCAGTTCCACATGGGTTTTAGTACTTACCTGGAGGGAACAATCTGTCCCATGGACATTAATATTTTAGTGTTAAAACAAAAAAGCTTTGACACGCAACAAACTACAGAGTTTCAAAGCAAAGCAATGTTAGTTAGCACAATGGCAAAGGGATATCTATTTCAGTCAACCTAACTACAAAGTTTCCTGCAATGATGACTAGCATGCAAAACTTACACAAGATATTCTGTGTTATCTCAAACAGCTCTTTTTTGGCTAGGAAAGATGGAAATAGAAACCATCAATGACTCTCTATCCATACTCATAACAAGACTTTCTAACAAACAAAAATAAAATACATATACAAAAAGGAACAAATAACATTAATTTTAAAAGACAGGCAAAAGATTGTAATGTCAAATTATCCAACAAAAGAATCACTTCCATTTTAATGAAATGCCTCTAGCAGACTTCCCTTCCATTCATACAGTCAGAGAACAGAAAGCTATTTAGTGTATGTATGTACCTGGAGTTTCTGAATTAATTCAAGAGTCACCAGATTTAATAAAACTTATTCTTCTTCAGCCAGCATGAAAAATGGAAGAAAATGTAGTGGAGCTAGCTGATAACAAGGAAGCTTTTGGCTAGACATACCTGATAAACCAGCATAGCACAAATAGTTTCAATCAGGTCACAGAACCTTGTTTATTAAACACTGACCCCACCTACATAACAACATATAATTTTACATATAGCATAACTATACCTCTCACTTAAAATTGATATGTCAGACCTCAGCACAGATTTCACACAAGAAACAAGTTCCTACTTCCCAAGTCATATTTTGCTCAGTTTCTAAGATGTTGTATTGGTACAAGACCAACAGCCCCTCAGTTCTAGTGCCTACCTCCAATAATAATTTATAGAAGACATGCTTAGCATGTGTTAAATATTACTGATATTATACTGACCCCAGACTGGGGATTAGCTGTCTCTGGAAACAGAGTAGATAATTCTAATGGCTACCTGAAAGCATACAGCCCACTATTTTGCATGACTAATTACTGATAATGAATGGATCAAATACAACAAATTAAAAGATAGTATACAACATACTGGAAAAAGGGAGAAAATCTGACTTCTAGGCAGATTAATAAAAAGAGGAAAAAACCCCCACCATACACTAACACTGCACCTGGTTTATTACAGGGCAACTGCTGCTGCAATTCTTTGAACCTACTGATGATAGAAACAATTTTTAAAAAAAGTCAGATAAGCAAAAATGCAGAAAACAAGAAGGAAGACATGAAGACAAATGTCTAAGAAGTCTGACTCTTTTCCCCATATATCATTAATTTTTCATTATGAAATCTAAGAATAAAACATCTTAAACTTTAAGGTATTTAGATTTCCCCAGGGTTTAGGTGGGTAATGAAACAACTATTTTTCAATGTCTCCCTGCAGAGAGTAGATGATCTATGATGCTTCCAAACTAAGGATTGCAAAATGCCAAGCAAATCCACCAAACGAACACAAAAAGAAAAATCAATACCCAGCAGCACCAGGTTGCCAGGCCATTACAGTCAGACACATTAGCCACAGTCTTTGAGAACACATGCAGCTTTTTACTCCTTCATTACTACAGAGGATCGTCATGCACAAAGCACGAAGAATACATCCCTCAGAAGCAATCTTGGAGCCTTTCTGGCCATGAAATTCTGCATTTCTATATACCTAGTTGGCTAATTGCAGGTCTAGGGACACATTATTGGTGGTAGTGGTGGAAGCCAGTCAAGGCTTTTTGCCTGGGAAAGCAACCCATTGGAAGGAGCAGGACAACTAAATCATAGAAGTTACCAAACAAACAGAGCTACACTGCTCAGGGGACTCCTGGTGACAGAATATAGTCCTTAGAAACTGCCCTCGAGCAAAAGTCTTGCCAAACACAAAAGTTGTAACAAAAGCCAGCACTTTCACAGGGTGAATGTACCCACAGCACAGATGTCTTCGAGCAGTTTCACTGCCAGAGGACACAGCCAAGTGCAAAAGCAGCATTTTCTCACTCGTGCTTGCAAACACAGGATTCTGCGGGCATAGCTGGCATACAGGCACTTTACAAGCCCTACTCTTCAACGTGCTGTGTACTGTTCCTTTCTAAACTTGGTCCACTATGGCATTTTCGAGTGCAAGAGGAAAATAAATTCTATCTATCTGGGACAAGGTCTGTCTGATTTGCAAGCAATTGCTTCCCAATTATAATTTTTCATAAAAAATAGAAACAGTTTTCCATAAAAGAGGTAGTCTGCTGGCAACCCTTTAATCATGATATATTTGCACCTAAAATGGCAAAATTTACCTTGAAGAAGCCCATTTGAAAAGACAAGTATCAAACACTGGTTAACATACACACACACATTTGCATCATAGTTTTTTCCTACAATTACTTTGAAACCTGAAAAATCCTACAGATACGATTCTTAATAATCCATTACTATAGCCCAAGGAATACACAATAGGAAAGGGAATAGGAGAGGAGAAGCCATAAGATTAAGTCTGGCTTGACTTTACCCGGCACTCACTGAATGCCAGCAAGCCACCTTGATGTGTGGTTACTCAGACAAGAGTATGAAAACACTATGTAAGAAAAAAACTACATAAGAAACTAAAGGATGTAATTGCACATAGTACCAGATCACCTCTGTGTATGACTGGGGAAGTGCAGAGAGAGATGGTTACCTTTAGGGGGAAAGCGTACTGGATATTACTTACTGGTTTACCTTTCTGGTTACAGCTATTTACAGTGAGCCACCATAAAGGTGGCTCATATGATGTGGTCTGTTACAGTTGCTGAAGTGAGCCTGTCAAACTTAAAATAGTGAGTCTTATAGGAACAGTACAAATGCACTTCATTAACATGCTCACTGCTGGGCTCCCAGGTGGCATGTGCTTAAGTGCCTATATTTCACTAGCATGTTGACACGGGAGTCAGCAATAGAGCTGCCAGCATGGCTGAGGTTCAGCAATTTCCCTCCCTCTCATGCCAAACCTGTGGGAAGGCATAAGAATGGCAGCTGTCTTTTTGTCCAAAGATATGCATTCTAGCTTATTCCATCTCTACCTGTTATTTAATCGGAGCTGGGGCTTTTAAAACCAATCTTGGAGGTATTTTGCCAGTAGCTTTCCAGTAGGAGTCATGCTTTCAACATCATCTGAATAGTTATCTTGACTCTTGAATTCGTGTCTTCTTACCTGATAACATATTATCTGTTTTTATTGAAGGAAACTTCAAAGTCATTTCATGTTTGTGCCTGTGAATCATCAGATGATCCTCTGTTGGAAAACGCTGTCAGGCAAACACAGAGAGAGAGAGAGGAAGAGAGGAGAAAAAAAAAAAGCAGAATTTAATTCTCTAATAAACTTTTGGCATTGGACAGAATTTCAAAAATGAGAGAGAGGAAGAAATGTATCCAGCTAGAAACGTGTCCAAATGGCACAGGAAACAGAATATTTGAAAATGCAAGTAAGTATGACTAACAAATAGCTGTACTCTACTTAGAAACGTATTTGCTGTAGTGCTCTCTGCGGTTGCAAACTGCAAGGTGTCATGCATTTGCTTGAAAAAGTTGCACCAAGTTTTGGATTCTAAGGGTCTCAGACACCCGCTCCAGCTACCGCAGCCTCACAAGTCACCACGTGCCTGAGGATCTGCGATAACTGCTGTTGTGTATGCTCTTAGCCCACGGCAAACACAAAATAATGTGGCATCTCTTAAATCACTTTACTGGATTTTTCTGCTTTTGTGTCTTTCTGCAACCTATATCTGCTGAACAGCAATAAAAATAATCAAATAAGCCAGCCCTTCCCTACCCAAAAGTATTCAGGCAAAATGCATCTTTAATTTTGGAAACCTCTGATACTTTGACTTGATTCAAAGTGGCAATGCAATGGTGCTCAGTATATAACAACTATTTATGACCCTTTATGATACTAAATTAAATTATTTTCCTTTCTCAAGCAGAGAAGGTGTAGAGATGTGCTTTGTAAGAAACTAATCAGTGCGCTAAGTCTGTTTTACAGTCTGATAACAGACTTGTACAACAAAGCTTCTTTTGAACAAGACAAAGAAGATCCAAGCTTGAATAAATGTTCAAGCACTTGCACACTTGGGCTCTAAGAGCAGACTGGTTCTGTTAAGTTTCCTTCACCAGAAGGTGCATACACAGACCTTTGCTACAAACTACTGCAATAGTTTTAACAGGGTTATTTCAGGACTAGCAAAGGCCAAAAGTTGTATCACCAGGGCTTGAGGAAAAAAAGAATAAATTTTAAAGGCAGCTTTTTAAAGCAACAGGTACATAGGAGACTGTAAAAAAACCTGGCAACAACAGAGTTAAAGTGACTTAATGCTTTCAACAGAGTATATTCTTGGCTAAGTGACTTTGCTTGTGGCTATAGTATAAATAGTTGCAGTCTGTTACACCTGAGAATCTCTCTAAGCCCATAGACAAAGCAGCATAAATAATGGGAATGAATTCTCTGGAAAAACAAACAAAAAAAAAGCCAACAAAAAAACCACCCAAAGACCTTTTCCTCACTGTGAAATCCTGGTTCATTGCTTACTCATCTGGAAGAAATGCAGCACTAGAAATTTATGTTAAGAACAAAGGGAATATGTGAAAGACCGTGCTCAATGAAATTGTGAGGGAAAAAAACCACGTTTTGTTCTTGTGGAAATGGATTTTCCTTCATGGATGCCACGTTCTGTCTTCAGGGTGAAATCAGCCAGCTTAAAGAGGGCATGGGGCAACTGAGGAGAAGCTATTCCTCCAGTTCAGACTTCTCTGTCTTTTTTGTTAAGTCTACTTTCTTCCTTGTGCAGAAAGTCAACTCCCTCAGCCCTCAATACGCATCCGCACTGGCTGATAGGGAAGCCAGTCCCCAGACAGCTTAGCTGGATAGTGGCGCTACACTATGCACTTCTGTCAAGTCCTCATTTACAATAAACGGAGGTCATGGTTTGAAATGGGAAATTAAATGTTTTCTAAGATGAAGTCACAACTACATTGCTTGTCTTTCCAAATTGTAACAGCATACAACCAAACCTGCTCTCTGAACACCTAAATGAGCTCGTTTGGATCAGCTTCCCTACTGAGGAAATTAATTAATAGCTGACATGAAAACACTCAAGTCCACTGATTTGAGTGGAAGTTGGGTTTAAGATTCAACAAAAAGGTAAATAAAATTTGACTATAAAACTCAGATACTTTTATTCTACCTCTGTGACAGAATGGTGAAAGTTTAACTCTGCATGTGGAGGTCTGAAGTGACAAAACCTCGATCAGAGGGACAATCTAAAAGATGCACTCTGACACCTGTAGAAAGGCTCCCACTCAGTGAAACAGCCAGTTTCAAGCTGCTCAGCCAGTTGTTAACCGGACCTCAGACTTCTCCCTCTCCTTATGTCAGCTCTTGGCAAAATCAACAACTGCACTCCAGTAATAGTCACCCATTGCTCCACCAGAAGAACCTAAAGGATTGTTAAAATGTTAGTCAGCTGAAAACTCCTAACATACCGTTAAAGCAGGGAAATATTACCCTCCCTAAGACAAGAAGACTCTGGGAAATGGGTAAACTAAGTCCCTTAGAACAGATGCATACAGGAAGCCTGTGGCAAAAGCCCAAAAGGTGCCCTTGCCTGAAGATTTCACTCACAAACTCTTGTCACTAAACCAAATTAGGGTTGGAAGTGCCACACATGGAACTTCCCTCATCACTGCAAAATCATCAAAAAACCACATAAATCCCAATTCAAAATCTCAGCAGGTAAAAACCTTGTCACTTCAGGCTTTTTAAGATCATTAAACATCTAATGTTACAGGTCAGATTATACCTTCAGAGACACATGGCAGATCACCAGTCAACAGGAACCCCAAATGTACATCCTGGGGCAGAATTTATCTACAGGCTGCATTTTCTATAGAGAATATTTAGTAGGAAGATGTGTCAAAGATTTAAAAAAAAAAAAAAAAAGATAATAAGATATTGTATTTGGGTATTAAAAAAAAAAAATCAGAAGGGTTACCACATCCAATAGGAAACATAATATATTCCATCATACATCTAAGCAGAAGACAGATGAAGGTGTCCTACCTAGTGTGTCCTCTCTTGCTAGCCACTAAAGGAAATTGCAATACCTGGCTTGAAACATTAGGCTTGGGGATGAGGGAAGGCACAGAAGCAGCTTGAGAAGCACTTTTACCAACTCACTTTTGACTGGCTGTTGTATTTGCTTTAAATATTTTGTAATAACATGTTGTGGGGTAAGGAGGGAATTGAGGGGACTTAAAAAAAAAAAAACACAACCCAACACATATTATTATTAGACATGTGTTAATATATCAGGAGGCATTATACAAGCCAGAGCTAGTGCTGAGGACTCAATTAATATCACCGCTGACTCCACTCACCTGTGAGCAGCCTGGGGCACTGCAGACAAAAGGCCTCTCCTGCTCCAAGTTCATCTTTGATTCCTCATAAATCTACATGTTAAAAGGGGGAGGGGGAAAGAAAGGGAACCTATGAATATATACGTTCTAAACTTCACACATACATGCAACATACAATCGTCACAGTTTGTGCTTTTATTTCAAACTCCCCAAACAGACCAGAACAAAGTTTTATCCTCAGAGTACTAAATTTGCTAATATTCAGCAGGCTCCCTGCAGTCTCAGTTCTTATTACTCCTTCCTGAGAACATATTTACTTTGAAGGAAGAAAAAAAAAAACATTAAGCTTTCACAGCAGAAATCTGCCTCGGAAAAAAGCATATGTTCAGTGTTGTTATTAGATAAGACCGTGTCTTCTCAGAAATATCTCGAATTAAGGGTTTTTACCTTTCCTTCTTCAGTTCCTGCTGAACAACATTAAAACCAGACGTTTAGGTTACTTCTGAGAAAGAACCCACTTTTTGAAGTTCTTAATCCATACTATTTGCTATTAATAACTTAAATACATTACATACATGCTCTCTATACATACAAGATAATTGTGCATACCCATCTTTTAAAAGGTCAACTAGATCCTCAGGAGCTCGAGAAGTGAAGTTTTGCCTAAAACTGCAGCTTCCCCATAGCAGTTCCAGTCCTGTAACCTTGAACTAACACCAGGGGAAGAGCTCCCAGGTCTCAAATAAAACTGGAGGAGGAAATATTCGCCCTCAGAATGCAGTAATGCAGCTGAATTTGGGTCAATATTACAGCAGTGTCCCTGACCAACATCAACAAAAATAATTTTTTAGTAACATTCTAGGGGGTAAAATAAATAAGCCACTCCTTTTGGAAATGTTTTGAGCCTGTTGGTACAACTGGCATTACAAGCTGGAATATAGTAGCTGACGCACCTTAAAGCACAGCATATGACTTCTGCTTATATTATGCCTCAAATCCCTTAAAAATCAGCCTCACTGCAGTGCTGCTTAGACAAATAACTGAGTTGTGTTTCTTTAACTTTTCTCATAAAGCAAAGAGAAATATCTTGGTGGAGAAGGAGAATTTGATTTTAAAACTACAAAAATCTGCAGGACAAGTGCTAAAATTACTCAACCCTGTTGTCACTTTTTAAAACTACAATTCATTGCTTCCTATTATGAGGAATATCTTTACCACACTTCCACTTGTTACAAAAGCTTTATTTTCAGAAGAGTTGCTACCATCCTCTGCAAGCAATAAATACACCATTAACCTGAACATCAGCTAGACCTGTACATAAAGCAATTATTTTCAGTGCCCTAAGTTCTCAAAAATTAACCCAAACTTTTGGATAGTAACTTTTTCTTTTTAATTAAAATTCATTCTGGTGGACAGCATTAGCCTGATGGGATATTTTCCTACTTGTGACCTAAAAAAAAAGAAAAAAAAGTCAGCAAAGCACCCTTTGCCTGACTCCACTGACTCCCACAAGCAGCATCCAGAAGTGAAGAATTTCTCTTTTTATTTGCCCTTTAACCTCCACAAGGACACTACCCCCGAAAGGTGATAATTACCATCAAATGCTTTTCTTGATGTGGACATCTCTACCAACATCTGGCCTGAGACAAGTGATTTATTGCACCAAATACAATCAGGTGTCAAGAAAGACCCTAACTCAGGACTAACCTATCCATCTACACAACGCTAGAACTGAAATAACTAAAATTGTACCTAATTCACTCCTTTAAGATTATTCATATCCTGTTTTGATTTAACTTAAAGCTACGTTAAACTGAAATAGGATACTCATAATAAGAAATGAAAAGAGTATTTTCACATAAAGGCTTATACTAAAATAACTAAAGGTGTTAAATTACTTCTAATTTCAGTTATTTCAGTTCCAGACTGTGCATAGACAAGCTCTTCAGAGGTGAAGCAATAAAAATGCTCTGAATTACATTATCCTGTCTGAAAGAAACAAGCAGCGGAGAGATAACTGACTAAACAAACCAACCCCCGCAAAAACAAAACCTCCAGCTAAGTTCAATTTTTAAATCCACCTCTATTTATGGGATGTGACCCTGGGATGTTGTCTTTCCTGAAGACCTTTTCACAGAAAGAAAGAAAAGAAAAGAAAAAGAAAAAGCATAAGAAAAAGAAAAGAAAAAAAAAGCTACGTGTGGATAATGAAAGGCTTTATGTGATATCTCAATTACTCCTGCAACTGAAGCACTGCCAAAGGTTTCTGTTACCCCTTTCTCCCCTCCTCGGGGGAGAGCGACAACTGCATTTTCAATAGCAGAACAACGGATGAGACTCAGTTAAAGAAAACAAGAGAGTAACAATTCTGGTCCCAAGTGTCCAAGTGAAATTCAAAACATTACCAGGAATTATTTGGGGTTTGTTTTCTTACTGAGTATTGCAAGTCTAAGACTTCCCTCCCTGCCCTGAGCTTGAGCTTTAGTCCCTAAATCCATCAGTGCATGCTCTGATAAAAGTTAAATGATTCTCAAGGTTATCTAGATAGATAAGCATGGACTAAGCACCAAAATAACATACTCAATGAGGACTAGAATCCTGAGCGTCGGGATGGACTCCAGGAAAACATGGACTTGGGTTATATTCTCAGTACTTGGAAAAGGTGTCAGATTCAATGTCTAGCCATTTACCACAAACGTACAAACAACTGCTGGTTCCCACGAGAATCACTCTTTGCAAACTTTAAAAAAAAAAAAAAAAGTACTAATCCAGAACGGCTATATCATGTGTGCCCTCCAGGATACTGTCTAGCACAACTTGACCCATATAATATGTCACCAGATAGTACAATGCCCTAAAGACAAATTGCACCATGCAGAATTCGTATTTACATGTGATGCTATCACCACAGTTGAGACTACAGTACTATTGACTCTGTTAAAACAGTAAATGAGTGAAAGAAGCTGCCTACTGACTACAATTTTTGAGAGGGTGTCCAGTGCTTTGCTATCTTATGGCAGTAATTCAAGCTTTATGCTTGAATGTTGACCAGAAACAAGCAGCTGAAAGTCTGGGCTGTGAGCGTGAACCTCCTGCATCCCCCATTTCTGCTGAACTCCACCAGAGCTGTGGATGCACAACGCAGGATCTCACCCCAGGTTTGCAGCAGGATGGGAGCTCTCAGCAACAGGGGTGTTTTGGTTGTGCACAGCACAGTTTGCATGGCATCGTTTTCAAGGTGCAGGCGTGCATCTCCCATCCTTCACTCCAGGATACAGACAGTCGTACACAGCCTCTGGCACACAGTTCGCTTCACACGGCTTGTGTGTGTTGCTGGGCCACACAACCCACGTCTCCTTTTTCCACAGCGCGTGCAGGTGGTTCAGCATCCATGAAGGAAGTAACGCAACCCATGGCAACATTTCAACTTCACCTAATAAAAATAAATCACAGCAACCTTTCCATCTAAATTAAGGCGCTTATTAACCTCTGGGATCTTAAAAATTCAAGTTACACTCGTGCACCTTTCATAGTTCTACATATGACTGCCACAATTAATGCACATGAAGAGTATCAGGCAAATCTATGATGACTGAAAAGTTAAAAAATTGCTCGGGCCTGAATTTTTTACTTCTGTTATCAATAGCTTAATTTATTGCAACTTCGTGACCTCTTCGAAGAAAGAAACAAGGATTATAAATATAAGTGAGCACTAATATTGATATGTCAGCATTAGTTCTGATATTATTAACAATAGGCATGAGTGCATTATGCAGCAGAAAAGGGGGCTGAATTTTAATAGACATGTTAACAACATCTGTCAGCATTTATTGCCCTATTGTGACCATGTAAAGAGCCTTATTGGCAGAATGTGTAAGTGAGGAAATCTGCTACACTGTAGCACTGAAATATCACTCTGCTTAGGAGAAGTTAAGGTATTCTAATTAGAAAAATAAATAAACAAAAATACAGAATAAATATAGAAAGACTTCTCCAAGCCATGTCAAATGAAGAGAAACAAGTAAGTTCTGCAGCAAGCCAGGATTTTCTTCTATTCCTTGATTTCTGCATAAGATACTTCTAAACATTTTTAATTATAATTAATAAAACTGAAGCCCACAGTGAGGAATGCAAGAACATAACAAAGAAATAACAAGCAAACAAAATAAATAAAACCACCCTCAGAACACAGCAACAAACTACATCCTCTCTCAACAGCATCCAAAGAGAAGTAACCCACGTCCTCAGGCTCCTCAAGAAGATTTTGCAGAGCCCCATGATCATCCTTTCTGAATCAGAAAAATAGTTCTAACATCTAACACCAAGAAAGCACACTCCTTTCTGTCTCTCTCTCCCCCTTTTTAAACTCAGCAGTAATCTTACTGCCATACTGGTAAAAACATCAAGCAGGCTTGTTTCCTGTTTCAATGTTATTCTTGAAGTGGGCTGCAGTAAGAATCTGATTTTCATTGGGCTATTATTATTTGCAGCTGTGTGACCTTTTTAACCCTCTTTTAAAAGTGACATTTCAGCCTTCAACCTCAAGCTGTCTAAATGTTGCAAGGTTTTCAGTACTCTGATTAACAGTGAAAAAGAACCGATAGGGAGGTGTATACTACAATGTGTCTAATACAGGTCAGTGCACCCATCCTGCCATTTGCACAAGTGAGTAATTACACTTTTATAAGCAACCTGTTTGTTGAAATTAATCACCTGGACACATGCTTGCAAGACAGGTTTCTTCAGCCTGGTGTGACCAAGGTCACTGAGATTTCCCAATACAAGTACAAAATACACAGTCACTAGCGTTAGCAGCAGTATGCAGAGACATGAGCAATAAATGAGGCATCACTTAGTTTTTAGGGTCACGGCCACAATGTATAAAAAGTGAGAGGAGATGTGGTTATGCTGCACCGGTGAATATTAAAGAATCCCATCAGCGTATGCAGCATTTTAAATGGCTAGTCTTAGCTATTCAGTACAGCACTATTTATAGATAATTACAGTGTTATTACAAATGCTATTGACTTGTTGGGTTTGGAAGTGTAGTACATGCAGGGTTAATGCCTAGGGTTGTTCCCAATACGT